TCTTTGCCTACCATCTCCTCATTCCCATTACCTGATTTAATTGCTCGCAAGGCGTAATGCAGGGCAAAAAGAAATGATGAACAAGCAGTGTCAATTGTCAGCGACGGTCCAGTCAGATTAAATGTGAAGGAAACCCTATTAGCAGCTATGCTCATTGCTGATCCTGTACCAACATAGTGATTTATTTCACTTATTGATTTGCTTCTTATGATTTCAAAGTCTCGATTCATAAGGCCTGTAACAATACAAATACGTCATGTTACTCTGAGTGAAGAAAAGGGATGTATAGCACTCAACAGGACACTATGTTTATGTTTTTCTGTTTCACCATTAACCTTCTTAGCAACACGACTTCTATGGTGAAGCTTTTTCTACTCAAGTCAGAAGACAGTAAATTATAGGCTCGTCCTGCTGGCTTAGTTCATTATATGACACAACTAAGGTATACATAGCCTGTTTAGATCCCTGAATCTCAGCTAAAGAGTAGTTGGTTTGGCTTATCAATGATAATAGATACAAACAGGTTAGAATGAGGACAGCTGAAACAGAAGCTTACAGAGCATTACCTTCATTTCCTCAGATGCTCCAAGTTAAATATCACAGTGATAGCCATATCAAGTGTTCTTCATGTATCTTTAGTTTGCTCACTGTGATCCAGTAAGTTAAGAAAGAAGTAGAAAAGAACAGGACCCGTGTCTGGGGGAGCATTTGAACCCCCTCCCTGGGAACACATATGCCAGCATTATAGGAGGATCCCAAGTCCAAAGGCACGTGTAAAAAATCCAGTACATCTATATAGAGAGCACGGAATAATTCCCTCAGTGTAACAAGGGCATATTCCAGACCAAAGAGCAACATAAACAGCTCATCCCTATCCTTCATCAGTCTAACTATCCTGGACAACTCTAGAAATAGACACACACTACAGCAACCAAAAACAGATTCGCTTCTTGGAACAATCAACAGTTGCACAAGTGCACAAGTAGCATACTACTAACTACAAGATGGTCTTAGCCTCAAAAACACCTTAACCACTGGTACGGTGCTAAATACCAAGGTGTCAGACTGGCTTGAGAGTATCAGTCTTGGAAAGGGCTTGGCAAGGTGAAGACTAACTGTTTTCTGCCAACAGCAGATCAAGATCAAGAGTCACAGGGGCACAAGCGAAAACAGCAACAAGATATTAATGGGGACATCTGAAAGTAGATGTGTTAATTACATAATAAACTTCTAGAGTGACCTAACAGTCTATCTTCACCAAAATTTTCCAGTAGTGTCATAATACAGTAGCCTTAAGGTTACCTATGCAGTTTACAAAGGTGTGTTCCATTTTATGAGGGTAAAAGGGAAATTTTTCACTATGAAATTATGTCTTACCAACAAAAACACCTGTTTTGCTGCCACTGATGGCTTCTACAGGGACTCCTGCATCCTCTAGTGCTTTGTATGTGCATTCTAAAAGTAATTTCTGCTGTGGATCCATGCTTTCAGCTTCCACATTATTAATTCCAAACAGGTGGTTGTCAAATGTGTTAAATCTAAAATAAATAGAACAAAAAAGAGCACAATATGAATAAAAAATTCATTTAAATCTAGACAGATTATTACTCGATATTTATATACACATAATTCCCCAGCATGATGAAGGACAGATTTAAGTAAAAGGTTTTTAAAAAAATTTTTTTTTATTATTACATGACAGTACAAGCCCAGGGAAAAAAAAAAAAATGATTATGATCCAGTTCTGGATTCTTATGATACTGTTCATAAGAACAGTACACCTTCACAAGCAAACCGAGAGCATAAGGTCCCCTTCTTGTTCACTTAGCTAAGCAAAGACTTTCTTACTTTGTATTAAAACTGTCACAGCTCCTTTTTAATTAGAGCTACTTGCCCCGGCAAGCACAGGATTAGGGCCTGATGAGGTCCAGCAGAACGGGTCAAGCTTCAAACTGAAACTTGGCAAGACTCATAAGACAGATTGTACTTGGAGTCATTGGGGCACAAGTGAAAAGATACACACTACAGTT